ATCACATATGGATTGAGTGTCTTCTTCCGGCGATGCTCGAGGCTATGTCCCCCGAGCATGTGTGGAAGACGCTAGCCGAGTTGAGCTATTTCTTCTACCGACTTTGTGCCAAGGAGTTATCTCAGAGCGTGGTTGCGAATTGGAAAAAAATAGCACTGTGTTGCTCGTAAGTTGGAGATGATCTTTCCACCGGCTTCTTCAACCCGATGCTGACATTTGATTCTCGCACCTCCGTATGAGGCACGAATGGGGGGCCCGTGTAGGCCCGTTGGTGCTATCAATCGAGAGATGTCTAAAGGTTCTTCGGAAGAAATGCGAAACAAATACAAAATTGAGGCTTCCATGGCGGAGGCATTCGTTCTAGAGGAGGTTACTAACTTCACACAAGCATACTATGGTGACAAGCTTCCTAGCGTGCATAATCGACCCCTCGTTACAATCTTTGGTGAAAATGAATCAAAACTCCAGCCTTTTCTAAGGGCAACTTGGAAGTGCGAGTGATGCGACCTCATTGTTGTTGAAAAGCGAAGAGTGGCTCACAATCATTATATATGTGTTCACCAATCTTACCGAAATGGAGCCGTACATGCGATGAAGTGGCTTCTTGCACGAACTTGTTAATTAAATATGCCGTCAACATTCTCGCATCCAACCTCCTTGTTTCTCGTTGTTATAGGGAGTTTATTAATGAGAGGCGGCATCTATCAAGGAACCTACCCGCAAGAACGTGACACCATTCTTCATCAGGGTGCGGGAAATGGAATCTCCAATTTTATTTCTTGGTTCAAACAAAAGGTACTATGCAATTTAGCTCGTTCGCCGATTGACATTCCTAGTTGCTTGTACATTCCAATTTAACGATCTATCCTCCTTGATCTTGCAGAGCCAAACCGATTTGACTATGAATCCAGAGTTGAGACAGGGTGCCAATGGCTTTGAACATAGGGTCAAGTCATTTTCTGGTTATGATGTGAATGGATACCGATTTCACACAACAAGACACGAGCAGAGCCGGCCCAATCGAAGAACCATGAATTTCGGAGTTTTTACTGGCGGCCTTGATGGGGTCGAGTATTATGGAAGAATTGAAGAAATATACGAACTTAGGTTTCGTGGTCGCAAACCTCTTAACCTTGTCGTATTCAAATGCCATTGGTTTGATCCTCAAGAAACGAGACGAAGTCCTTCCCTTGGGCTAGTAGAAATTCGACAGGATTCCGTCTATGGCGGAAAGGATGTCTATATTGTGGCTCAACAGGCCACACAAGTTTATTATCTCCTCTACTCGTGCTAAAGGGACCCTCGTCTTCGTGGTTGGGATATTGTGCACAAGGTATCGCCGCATATGCGGTAAAGCACCTTCCCCAAACGCGAAGACTACAACTTCGACCCAAACACATATGATGGAGAGTTCTATCAAGAAGAGGGCCTACAAGGGACTTTTGAGATTGACTTAACTGGAGCTATGGAAATGGAAGTAGACAATGAAATGGATGTTGATGTGGACGAGGGGGATGAGGTGGAAAATGCGAAGGACTTGGCGTTACTTGAAGGATTACATATTGGCAATGGCAATGATGACATAGTTGCTCCTTTGGAAAGTGTTGAACATTTCGACATGGCTGATAGTGATGATGAGAGCTATGATCCAGCTAATCCCGATGGGGATGATTATTTCTAATACATGTAATATTATGTTATTTTTTAATTATGCTTTATTTATTTTGCATCTCTTTATAATAATGTCTTGTTTATGATCCATCTAATCCGATCTTATTGTTTATGTCTTGTAGGTGATTGTGCAAAGATGGCGGGCCGCAGAGCTTTGCAGGCGGTCAGGTCACTTTACGACACGGGGGGCAGTACACCAGGGCCCTCAGATGAAGCTGGAGGGTCGGCACCACCTCAGGGGAGGAGGAGGAGGGCGGCCAGGAGGAGGCCTAGGGCGCCACCGCCTCAGCCTACAGCAGCAGCACCACCAGAGCCCGAGGAGGAGCGGGAGGAAGAGCAGGTGGACGAGCAGGCTCAGCAGGGAGAGGACGAGCTACAGGCCGAGCTGTAGGCCGAGCAGCTGGACGAGCAGGAGGAGCGGGAGGACGAGCAGGAGGCCGAGGCAGCGGGTGTCTACCAACGAGGTCCGGCGAGCCTACCTGAGCGGCCAATACCTGAGGCTCTATGCCCGGTCATTCGACCCGTTGGGCAAAAGTACGTAACTTTTACATTTTTTCACTCCTACATATGATAGAATCACAATGGAAACTAACAGTTTTTTCTTAATCACTTACGCAGGTCTTGGAAGGTCGTGGTCCCAGGTGCTCACAAAAGGTTGCCCAATGGCATCCTGGGTCTTCTCTGCAGGGAACACTTCCTAGGCTTGGTTCGCTACGCCGAAGCTCTGGAGCCGGCCTACATGTACGAGCACTACGTCGCCGCCCCTGATGCGGAGGATGAGACGGGCCGCACGTACGAAAGCGTGGCGGAGCGGGTTATGTGCGAGTTTTGGGTAAGTCTTCCTCCCACTACTTTGCTGAATACATTGCATTCGCTAGAGTTTCTTGAACCAGTGTATTGATACATCTTTTCTATATGCAGGACTTCTTCAAATGCGCCGAGGGCTACGAGGCGAGGGTGGCCAAGGCGTCGGCCAAATCTTTTAGAGGTCGCATCTCAGACATGCATTACGAGGCGTGGCTCCAGGCCATCATCGATTACTGTGCCATCTACGAGCATCGGAAGGTAAAGAAAGAAGATGCAAGATTATGGGGCAGACTGGGATCCGCAACACCACGGACATTGACGGCGACATCGTCATGAGGGTGGGAGGAGGCAAGAAGCATGGGCGGTACCTCATCGGCAACAGCACGCTCGACCCGCACACCACTCCCACTCTCTCACAGGTCCGGTCAAGCAGCACGAGCGGTAGCGTGCCCATACGCCCAAGGCAGGACACTTCGACGCATCGTGTGGCAGCACTACAGGTTATTTCTGTTTTATTCGCCGTTTATTGGTTTTACATTCCTCGAAATTACTTGTAACAATGCGGTGAAAATTTATAGGCCCAGGTGCATGCGCTCGAGGAGCATAAGGCTAGGGTGGAGGAAGAGCGACAGAGGGAGCGGGAGGCCGAGCGACAGAGGTGGGAGGCCGAGCGGGAGAGGTTTAACGCCTTGGCTCAGTACATGGCAAGTCTTGGCGTTACGATGGGTCGTCCAACGCCACTAGAGCTGTTCGCTCCTCCACCGCCTTACCCATACCCACCTTACTCATACGTGAGTTCAACTTCTCTAACAAAAGCTCTTTACTGTGCATGTCGGCCATCGTGCCGTGATATGTGATGGGAGGCCTTCGTGCCGTTGATATATATGTGTGCCATTGATATGTGGTGGGCGGCCATCGTGCTGTTGGTTTTCTTGCAGGTTTTGGAAACCCCACCGCAGGGGGAGTCTTCTTAGAAATTTTGATGTGTTTTAGGCTTAGATTATAATTTTATACCTAGTTCGTAAATTTTGACTTGTCTACGCTTAGATTACAATTATATGCCTTAGTATTACTATAATTACTAATTTTTTCTTCTCCTTTTGTGCAGAATCAATCGGTGGGTTCGAATGATGTGCCCGAGCAAATTGTGTCGTCGGAGGGTCATGGCACCAACCAGTATCCACAACTTCCGCCGCATCATGCGGCCGTCGGGAGGGTCGGGTACCAACCAGTATCCACACCTCTTCCTTGCAGCAGCAGCACCGCCGCCGGGAGGGTGGGAGCCTTGGGAGTGAGCCTGTTGTTCTTCATCATGTATTAGCACTTTGTGACATGAACTTGTGTGAGATGAACTTAGCACTTTGAGATGGACATGTGTTGTTGGATTTGAGATGTTTAGATGGATTATAATGTGAGACATGTGATGTGGATGACATATTTGTGATATATGTGATGTGGATGATGTGTTATATTTGTGAAATATGTGTTGTTGAAGCTGGAAATATAAACAAAAATAAAAAAATGCTCTCTGGACTCTTTGCCGAGAGTAGGGCTCTCGGCAAATCTGCCTCTTTGCCGAGAGCTTGGTGGTCGGCTCTCGGCAAACCTTTTTTATTTTTGAAAACCACCTCGGCCACAAATCTTTTTTTAACAATTCTTTGCCGACGGTCGCTCTCGGCAAAGAAGCTGTCACACCGTTAGTGGTCGTTTGGCCGTTACTAGGGCACGCCAGTTTGCCGAGGGCTAGAGTTTGCCGAGAACCTTGCCATTACTCTCGGTAAATATTTTGCCGAGAGGGGCTCTCGATAAAGAATCCTTTGCCGGTAGATGTTTTGCCGATGGCTCTTTGCCGAGAGCTGCTCTCGGTAAATAGTTTGTCGAGCGTCAACTCGTCTTTGCCGGGAGTCCGGTAGTGCTTGGCCACTTGGGCGTTTCGGTGATGGTGACGGTTCTAGGGTCATTATGTCCACGGAGTCCAGTCTGTACGTACAGACGGTACAGCTGAAAGCCTGAAAGGCCTTTGTTTGTCGTCTGCGCCAGTAGTCTCCGATCCAGCTCTCCAAAGGAAAAGGAGACGACAACGGGTCAACGAGTAGGCCCCATTCGTTTCGCTGAAAAAACAAGTCGAAACACTATTTCGGCTAATTTGTTGCGAGAAAAAAATACTATTTTAACTAAAAAATAAGCTGAAAAAAACGGATTATAAGAGAAAGCGAACCAGGTCTAATTTGGCTGTCCTTAGGACTCGACTGTTGTAGCATATATGAACCGAATGTACCACTAGTCCTTTTGGAATGGAATACAGAGATCTCGCGAGAGAGACCTTGGAAGAACGAAGCAAACGTATTTCTGTTGGTACACCGACTCCAAAACACGTATTCACTGTCCGAACGACCAGCGTGCTGACCTGTTCGGCTGATATTAAAGCCAGATAAGCCGTCAGCCAGTTGAAGCTATTTTATTGTGAGAGAAAAAATAATATAGATTCTAACTAATAAGCCGGTTGATAAATTCAAACGAACATGCCCTGGTTGCCGACAGCCAACAACCATGACGGCGGCGGCGTGCCGGGCACCGTTTGCCACCTAAGTCACTCGCTCAAACATGGCATGTGCTCGGGCAAGCACTCAAGTACTGCATGGCCAGGAAACTGTACTCCACTAGAAGCCTTTTTCCTTGGAACAGAAAGGGTACGCATGGAGGCTGGCTGCTGAATTTTTTTTTTTTGGACAACAGGCTGCTGAACATTTCCTAGTTCCTAGTACCACCACGCTACCCCTTGCCAGTTTACTAGTACAACTGGTTGACAGTGCTTTTGCTTTTCTATCAGACTAATGTCAACATGGCCAGAAAGGTAACACAGGTGACAGCTGCAGAGATGGCTCCCACAAGGCCACAGCACAACGTAAGAAGTGAGAAGTTGGCCACCGAAACCGAACCAACCAAAATTGGCCTCAGAAAAATTGAAAGCCTGGCCCTGACCCGAACCAAGCTGGCCCGTGTTGATTTCCTGGCTCGCTCGGAAGAAGAGCCTCTACATCGGACAAGGCCCAGCAACAAAAGACTAGCTTGTCCAATGCGTGCACGGCCCACTTTGGAGTGACAGGCTGACATTCGCATTCGAAAATGGTAACACAGTGGCTGTGTCCGGATCCAGGAATTAAAGTTTAGCCGTGTCGCATTCGGATGGTAACAGGATTAAACATGAGTTAATTATCTCTACTATAATGGACCAATTAAAATTATACTAGGTTCCTCCGAAAAACGTCCCCCGCTGAAAGCTTCCAACCATTATGCACTAAAAAAAATGCACACAGAAATTCATCTATATTGAAATCAAGGGCTAAAAAACATCTAAATCAAATCCGATGGCCACGATTCGATGTGGGATGGCAGCCTTCTCACCCCCGCGCCCTACATCCCACGCACGCGGGCTTCAAACGCGCCCCACGCGCGATTCCCCACGCTCCACACCGCCGCCGCCAATGGACGCCTGTCTGCCCCACGCACGACTCTTCTCGATCTCTCCCCCATGCGCGAATAGCGCGATGCGCGTGACTCCTCTCCCAACACACGTTCCACTCCTCACGCGGTGCTACTCCTCTCCCGACGTCGGCCGCCTGGCCGCAGGGAGCCAGCCACAGGCCGTCGGGCGCCGACCGCCAGGCCACCTGGGCTAGGGTTGCGCGGGGCTGCGGCGGCATGGAGCGCGTCTTCTCAGTGGAGGAGATCCCGAATCCCTACTGGGCCCCACCGCACCCTCAATCGGCGGCCACTGGCGCTGTTGCTGCACCGGGTGGACGGTGGAGAACAGGCGGAGTGGGGGACGGGCGGCGGAGACAAGAATGGCGGAGGCGGTCGTGAGGTGCCTCCGGGACGGACGGTTCGATGGTGAGCACGCACTGTGGAGGGAACACTCCAGTGCTGCCCGCTCGCCGTGGGCGTGATGCTCCACTTAGTGGCCGCATTCGGCTCCCAGGTCACTACATGGAAGGCGTAGGCCAGGTTTTGTCTGTCTCTTCACCTCCTGGTGCCAGATTTTGCACAGATTTGGCTGATGATGTGAATTAGCTTGATTGTGAAATTCTGTTGGTGTGTAGGGGGCTGGTGGTTGTGGCATTTGATCGGAACCTGCAGGTGTACCTGGAACTCGTGCGGCGCCGCGGCCTCGACGCAAATACTTTGGACCGATGGTATAATCGCACAACAGGATTTCTGATAAATAAAAGGTATTTGTTGCGCATGGGCCGAAACTGTAATATTTTTCAGACATGGGGAATGTTACTCCGACATGGACATTTGTGTTGCAATTTGACTCCATTTGGGGTCTCCTATTCAGAATATTTTTCCGGACGGCAAAAGATGTTGATGCAGAATTGGTAATTTAATAATTTTTGGAGTAATTGCAAAACAAGAGCCTCTTTTATGTCAGGGTGATCTACTGCCAATGTAGCTGCTCTTAAGCATAGATCAAAGATTCTTATACATTAACTAACTTTCTGGAGTGGGAGCTTATACATTTCCATTCATGCTTAAAATATATCACTAATTTTGATTTGCTGTTGGCCTTTTGGCTGAGTACAAATTTAACTATTGTATCTCAGCGTGTGCAAAGAGATTTAAATTTTAAAATTCATAAATGCTCATACAATCTCCTTTCCAATTTAAAGTCTGAAGTTGATATACCGATTTGCCAATTTGACATACCATCTGAAGAGTCAAATGCTCAAGCCAACTGGACACTCTTTTGTCACACTATCTGTAAGGCAGAAGCATTCCTTTTGCTATTGTGACCCCTTTGGATGGAAGCAGAAGATTCAAAACAGCAGCATCAAGGGAACAGTGCAAAGCTCTCGACAAACAAAGAGAACATTACTGTTTATATAAGTCTGAAGGATGTTACAAAATTGTTGTCCTTCACTACTGAACATGGAGGTATTATCTACCATAGAGCATTTGACCTGTTAATATTTCTTTGTTTCTGCTCTAATCCTAACTAGCTTGCTTACGTTATGGATGTCAGGTTTTGAAGGAGAAGGCAAAAAGTATTTTTCTATGGCTGGAGACAATACCTAGAGTGCGGATTATGTATTGCAACTTTGTTTCCCCGGTAGACAAAACTAGGGTTCCTACTGAGCTTAATATCATTTGATGAAGATTGTTTCATCGCCCATGTTTAATTTTCTACCTCTACCCCTAAATAAAACAGCAGTGAACATCTCTACTCATATATTATATCACTCCTCTCAATCCAGGCCACACCTCAAGCTTGGAACTTCTCAATGGCATGTTAATTGAGAGTCAAGAAGGATTTATCCTCTGAGATTGAACTATGATTGAATTTAATTACGAACCGCTTTGGTCGGTCCAGGTGTGCCAGCTGCCGGCAGGTTCGTGAAGGATGAGGACGAGCGGGAGGCCATGTGGAGAGCAGCAGCACGAGCTCGCCTCCCAGAAGATGTACTCCCTCGGCAGCGATCCGATTTTGAACAGGCTGCTCAAATTCTAGGAAAACCTGACCTTGCACCGATGACATATTCGTATTCTTCGATGTCGAGCCTGTTGGGTCTGCTTCTACTGTACAGGTTCGTGCTTAGGTATTCCTCTTCATCTGTGAAATCTGGGGAGTGGGGTAACATCTGTGCTTAGGTATTTCTTTGTAACATAACATCATATACGTACTGGGAACAGATCGCTTATTTTGTTGCTAATTTTTTAGATAATTTCCAAGTTTTATTTTGGTTCATATTTGTTAGGTGCATTGAGCAAGGCTTAAATTATCAAAGACAGATGTTGCTATCAGGGTTAGTAATATGGTTATGTGTTTTGTAAACAGTCATTTGAAACCTCAAAATTTTCGGATGTCATAATGAATTAGGAATTGACCAGGTTCAACATCCAGGAGCTGACCATATGGCCCTGTTTCTGCAGAAGTATGACATCAAGGTATTTAGAAGCATGCCTTTATTATTTACTTTGTATGCTGTGAAGATCAAACTTATGATGCAAAACTATGCTGGTTTTCACACTGCTCATTGGTTTAAATGGACATATAAATGTGCTTAAATTAGTTCTTCAATTCCATTTCTATTTTGCACTAAATGGTTTTCTAGACATTAGTTACTTTTTCCCACTTGCCAGTCAATAGTGTTGACTTCTACTGATTGAAGGATGGGTACTTCTTTGCATTTTGAGCCTATATTGTACTTAATTTTATTTTGATTTATGTTTATTTTGTCTCCTAAAACTTTACATAGATTACAAAAATTCGACTGATATTGCATTATTGCCTTTGGATTTTAATGATTTTATCACTGATGCTCTCCGAGGAACCAGTAACTACGTGAAAGCAACATGGAGATAATGCAGGCGGATCGAAGTCGAACTCAGACTGACTATAATTCCTACCAGTAATTGCTAGAAGACATGGAGATAAAGCAGATAGATCAAAGTGCAAACCCATAATGTATTCATGTTAGGGATATGGATCAATGGATCCTGTTGAACGCACCTTGGTTGAGAAGCGCCAAGAGATGGGTGCTAGCTAACAACCCTATCATATGCTCGGATGGATTTTTTTTTTCTTTTTCTCCCTTGGTAACCTTTGGAATTTGAACTGATGTAAATACTAATCTGTCTCACTTCCATTACCAGAGATTCTGTGAATTATTTATTTTGTAAGATAAGACTAATATTTGAAAGCAACCAAACTACCTGCTACTATGTGTAATTGCAAGAAGCAAATCATATTCTTCATTACTTCATATAGTTAGAACTGCGCACGGTTGTTTTCATGTGCATTCCTGAAATGAAGCCACGGCGTTAACACGGGCACTATACTAGTAAAATTAATTACACATGAGTAGATTAATTAGCGAGATAAATCTATTAATCCTAATTAATTTATAATTAGCAAATGTTTACCGTAGCATCACGTTGTCAAATCATAGACTAATTAGACTTAATAGATTCATCTCGTAAATTAGGCCCAGTTCGTTTGAACTTATCAGTCTAACTTATTAGTCATGGTACAATGGTGTTTTCTCTCACAACAAATCAGCGGCAAACAGTACTTTTCAGCCTGACTTTTCAGCGAAGCGAACAAGACCTTAGCCTAGTTTTGTAGTTAGCATGTGTTTAATACTCCTAATTGGTACGAAGATTCGATGTGACAGGGCTAAACTTTTGCTCATGGAAAACAAACACAGAGAAAAAGTACCCGCTTTGATCCACGAAGTGAACGTGTTGACACCTAAAATATGATCGGTAGAGTTCCCTAAAAAAATAATTGGTAGAGTTGAAGATAGACTAGAAAATCATATGTATTTGAAAAAGAACAAATTTTGCCTAGTTTGTAATTTACATCCAGGAAAAGTACTGCCCAGGCCAGTTTGGGCCGTATTGTGACAGCGGCAGGGAGCTCGCCTGACGCAGGCCAGTTTTGGAAACGGCCTGACCTGGTTTTAGCAGTCCAAGCCCAAATCAAGATTTTCTAGTTGGAAACTCTCATGATCTTATGAAACTTGTAGATTGTGTGTGCAATACGTTTCATACCGGATAAGACCACCACCTCTATTTATATGAGATGATCACGACCGATTTTGAAACCTGGATCAAAATCCAATCACCTGTTCTTCTACCTTAACCTCTTCTAACCCCTTTGTTGTCTAGCACATCACTCGATGAGATTTGTCTGTGTTCGAGGTGGCCTTATCGATCCTAGGACACTCCCATTGCTCTCATCCCCAATGACTTTCCAAAAGGTGTTTGTGGGTCTTTCAAGCGAAGAACGAGCTTCAAATTAGCCTGAATGAGCTGCTAGTGGTCCTCGCTGTTCTAAAATACAACTTCAAGAGTTGAAAGCGGGATGGAATTCTTTTTTGAGCAATGAACAATAGGCAAGAGAATGTGCCAATTTTTAATGATATATAAAGAAGCACTAAAGCTAACTAACACACGAATGATTCAAGGCCTACTCTCACTTAATTTTTCTAGCCAGTCCAAGAATGACATGTAAGCTTCTTCCCTAACTCCGACAAGGTTAGGGTTAGGGGTTTCTTGGGCTTACCTGAATCCGGCGGGCTTACAAGGATAGCTAGGGAGGAGAAGGTCGACCCGGCGACGATGGCGGGCATGGGCGAGGCGGCGGCGGCGGCGTCCGACGGACAGTAGGGAACGCGGTTGGATAAGAGAAGGGCAGAGTGTGATGGATATAGCCCGACGACATCCATTGAGTTAGTGTGACGGTGGACAAAGGTGGCTGGGCGCCGCCGAAGCCGGGCGGGTGGCGGTGGCGGAAAGGGAGTTCGACCGGATATGAATATGACCGCGAGGAGGAGGCACATCCGACTGATTTTAAGTGGGGCCGTTGTGGTTGGCGGCGGGTTCGTCGCCGGGGCCAGGTGGGGAAGCAGAGGTGGCGGGGGCGAGCGTTGATATCAGGTGCGGGCGTGAACGGAGAAAGAAGGAAAGATGATAGGGTAGAGAGAGAGATTTGATTTGAGTCCTGTATTTTTATATCTAAGGTAAAAAAAAATCAAATGATGGTTGACCTTATATTACTCAACTGCTGCATAGACAGATCCTAAAGAAGAAGGGTTGCAAAGTCTGTTAACTCTGCTTTGGATGTTAAAAAAAAACTGAGACAGACGAAATTCTGAACGAAGAGATGAGAGCTGTAATCAGTGTATCTCTGCTCTGCCGTTTTCTTCAGTTCAGAGTACCATCATCGATATTTTCATCAGGTTTCAAAGAATCAGGAACTAGATACTGATGTTTCCCATGGTAAACAACAAGAGATCGAGCGTGCAGTCCCTTAATGATCATCACATCAAAGATGAAGCCCTGCATGCCCCAATCAAACAAATCTAGGCCCTCTCTAGTTATTACTTATCAGTACTCCGTAGTTGGCCTCAGTTGTTACAGACACGCATGCATGCACCGCTAAATTGATTGTTCCGTCCATGCGGCAAGGCTGAGACACTTGTTCAAACGAACAGGAGCAAGGAAACGGACCCCGTTTAAATGCAGTACAAGGATGGGTGACCAAATCGTTCACATGACCATACGTACCACGCCGTCAAATCATGCCTGCCATGCTTGCACCATAAGTACACCATGATTACTAGCTTAGTACTAACAGTGGACCTCCACCTGCTATACATGATGAGTGAGTGAACCGAATTAAACCAGGTTCTGAACCTTAGCTGATAGCTCGAAGTAGCTTGGTCTGGAGATGAATGCGTGTGTGTTGGTTCTTCAGTCCAGGCCCACACGCCAACGCCATGCATGTGCTGCGCCAACCTCCTCTGTCAGGTCGTGGGAGAGTTTAAGCCATCAGAGTTTCATGGAGATGAAACGCTCTTGACATGATTACCAATTCTCTATGAGTCATGAAGTTAAATGTTTATGAAATCATAGAATGAAACTCTCTATCGAGAATGGGTGTTTTATTCGTGTTTCATTTCATTCTATATGACATGACAGTCTCTTGCAAACAACACCATGAAACTTTTCACTGAGACTAGCCAATACGATGGCATGTGTGCATGTGCCCTCTCAGCAACCATGATCACTCCCTAGCTCCTAATGCAATCAGCCCACCTTGCTAATAAGCCTGATGAAATGCAGGAAGGATATATAGAGGAGGATGGGACGAAGGAAGAAGATGGAGGGACCGCTGGACAGGCGTTGTCGTACTGTAGGTGATCGACAGCGGATTCGCCATGTCGGCATCCACACGTGTGACTGTTTGCCGGTGCACGCATGCATGGTGGTGTGTAGTGCCAGGATGTCTGTAATGCTTGCCTAAAAAAAGGATGTCTGTAATGCTGATACCATCATGCATGATACATGCAAATTCTTTTAGCACTCGTCGATCTTGTGTTTAGGAAGAGCATTTATTCATGTCACCGGGAATTGGAGGATCCAAGTGTGCTCACTGCTGAATGATGTTGTATTATTAAGTGATTTTTTTTTCAGTGAGGCCTGCCTACTGAAGCTGGAATTCAGAGCCACTACACTACTATGCTGCGTCGACCGTTTTACCGTACTCCCTCCGTCCCTAAAAAAGAGTTATTCTCGCTTCCGAAAAATCAACAACTTTTAACTTTAACCAAATATATTTAATAAAATATTAATACTTATGATACATAATTAGTATCACTAGGTAGATCGTTGAATATACTTTCATAATAAACTTATTTAATGTTGCACATATTTTCTACAAACTTAGTTAAAGTTGAGAAAGTTTGATCAGCACAATGCCCATAACGACTCTTTTTTTTTAGAATCGGAGGGAGTATCTGTGCAGACAAACTCATCTCGTATTTGGCTATTTCTTCAAACTTCCCACAAAAAACAAGGCAGGAAGGGAGCCTATTTCATAGGAAATTGTCATTAATAAAAAGATCTTAATGGTCCAATATTAAAGAATCCGGATATGCTCAAAGGAGAAATCCAAATAAAATAAGTACCTTCTTTTTGGAAAATAGATCTTTGTTTTTCAATATTAAAGAATCTGGATGTGCCCAAAAGGAGAAACTGAAGCAAAATAAATAATTTCAATATATAATAAAATAAAATAAAGGGAAAGGCGTAAGAAGCATCGCATTTAATTGGATGTTGATAGAACGGGATACATGGGAGCCCTCCTCACTGATTGCTGTATGCCGAAAGCCCAGGCACTCCAGCCAGCAGCCTACCTGTCATGAACCCACTGCCCTGCCCGGAAGTGAGACCAACGGCGTGTATCCAAACTCCACCCATGCTGTACTGTACGAACGAAAAGATGTCAAACCAGTCTGCCACAGTGGATTGATTCCACTTAACATCGAGGCAAAAAGGATCGCATCCATGATCGCTCAGTAGGAACGATCGTACGATCGTATCAATGTTCAGTGAACAGGTTGAACGTGCTTTTGATGTTTATTACATCCTGTAGTGGGCAGTTCTGTTCAGTTCAAATTCTACTTGAAAACATGAGTTATTTTTCTAGAGAAAAGGTCTCCTGCTTTATTCCATCTTGAAACAAAGCATACAAATATGAGATTTGTTAAATTTCAGGTGCTTGAATTTTAGTTTTCTTTCATGCGATGGTTATTACATATAATTCATACTAAAATTACAGTTTTAGTTCATTGCAGTTTCTACACCTAACCACCCAGGTTCAAGTCCTGTCTTAGACTGAATTTAGATGTCTATTTTCTCTTCTTAATGAAAAACCACCTAGTTCCTCATAGATTGGATCTCAATTTTTTAATACAATCTGCAATTTTTTGTTCCGAAAATAAAAAACCCGTTAAACAAAATCACAAACCTGACAAATATGATATGTGTTGGCATAAAGATAATTTAATAATTTACAATTATTTCTATAGTTAGACAAGGGTAAAAATTTGATATGTTATGACACAAAGACAAATAACAAATCAGAAAAGTGACAATTTACTTGTGCTAATTGATAGTACAAGAGTGTTGTCTGAAATCATTTTAAAATTCAGGCACCTCAAATATAGGAGAAGTGTACAGATATAGTTTCACAATCCATTTTAAGCGCATTCCTGGCATGCTTGCCAAAGACATCAGACACGCATCTCACGTAGTACAATTTTTGTAGCATTTAGACCTTGTTTTTGGCTTTCAGTTTTCCCAAATTCACAGCTCATAGCTCACAACAGTTTTTTCACGGCCCACCCCTAACACTAGAATAACCTGAGTTCACTGCTACTGGCAAACAAACATATGGATTATACAATTCATGGTGCCCATAAATGTGCAGCAGGACAAATTTGATGAGCTAGCTATCTCTTTTGGTTGTGCAAAAGGTACTCTACCTTTTACCAGAGCACCTTTTACCTATCTTGGTCTGCCTCTTAGCATCTCTAAACCAACAGTTGCAGACTTCAAGCCTTTGGTTAACAAATGTGAAAGAAGGCTTATCAGTATCTCCTCTTTCCTAAGTCAAGCTGGAAGGCTAGAGTTCACAAATGCTGTTTTCTCTGCTCTTCCCACTTTTGCCATGTGCACTTTCAGTCTGCCCAAAACCATCATCAAACAAATTGACAAATATAGGAAACACTGTTTATGGAGAGGTTCAGACATAAACAACAAAAAGCCTCCAAAGGCAGCTTGGCCCATGGTCTGTATACCAAAAAGAGGAAGGGGGTTTGGGTGTTCTTAATTTGAGAACTCAGAATGAATGTCTTTTGCTCAAGCATTTGGATAAATTCTTTAATAGAGTTAATGTGTTTGGAACAGATATTATTCTGATGGAAAGCTTCCACGCCTCACTTCTAATTTCAGAGGATCATTTTGGTGGATAGATTTGCTTAAATTACTAGATTCTTATAAAGGTATGGCAATGGTTGCTATTCAAAGTGGCACTCCTTGTTTCTTTTGGTTAGACCTTTGGAATGGGCAGGTATTACATCAGTCTTTCCCAGAGCTGTTCTCGTTTTGCAGAGATGTCAATGTTTCAGTACACACAATTAAATCAGCACCAACAGCCATTAATTTGTTTCACCTACCATTGTTCACTGAAGCTTTTGAACAATTTTAGCAACTTGACATCATTATTCAGAATTTACAGCTTAATTCAGATTCAGATCAATGGAGATATATATGGGGTTCAAACATCTTCTCTTCAAGGAAAGCTTACAAAGTTCTCATTGGAAGCTCTCAAGTTCATCCAAGATATAAATGGCTTTGGAAATCTGTATGTCAAAACAAGAGAAAATTTTTCTTTTGGCTTCTACTCAAAGATAGATTGAGTACCAGGGAATTACTCAGGCGTAAAACCATGTCTCTACAGGATTACAACTGTGTGCTTTGTGCACAGGGTGTAGAGGAATCACTCTTCCATCTCATGTTTGACTGCCCCTTTGCCATGGCTTTCTGGAATACTCTGAATCTGTTGGTGCTGATCTCTTCTTCACCTTTGCAGATTTTTGAAGCTTTCAAGACTCAACTTCATTTGCCTTTCTTTATGGAAATTCTAGTAACAATGTGTTGGTCTATTTGGACTGTTAAAAATGATGTTATCTTCAAAGGAATTCCAACCTCCATACAACGTTGCAAGTTGATCTTCAGAACAGAATTTGCCTTAGTTATACTGAGAGCAAAAGCAGCATACCACCCCTCAATTGATTCATGGCTAGAAGCTTTTGTGTAATTCTTTTAATTTTCTTTGTAACTTTCTTTGCTTCTTGATCCCTGTATTTAAGAACTGTAAGTTTAGTGTTATCAATAAAAGCACAGTAGGGGGCTTTACCCCTCCTGTTTTCCCTAAAAAAAACAAGTAAGAAGCATGGAAATGTGTTCTACTTCTAGTACTATGCAAATGTGTCGTAAACATGACGTAAAGCAGGTGCAATTAGGGGGTTGTTCTCAAAACACTATAGCAACGTTGTATTCGTGCATTTGTCATGTCTCTTTACTCTCTCTTTAGGACCATTTCTCACATCCAAGTGCCAGGCTAGAACATCGAAAGATAGAGGGGAGAGGTGTATGCAGTGGCGACCGACGCCCTATATATATGCGCCTTGCAAGCATCTCAAAACACAAGCAACAAACTAGCAGCACTGCAAGTGCATACCGAGCTACAGTGAGCTAGGTTGCTAGAGATAGAGGAGAGACGATGGGGAGAGATCAGCAGGCAGCTGCAGCGGTGATGGCTCCTGAGAAGCTGAAGCTGTTCATGGGAGTGCTGGCCCTGCAGTTCCTCCTTGCAGGGTTCCACATTGTCTCCAGGGCGGCGCTCAACATGGGCATCAGCAAGATCGTGTTCATCGTGTACAGGAACGTCATCTCCCTCGCCTTGCTCGCTCCGTTCGCCTACTTCCTCGAGAAGTGCGTAACCGCCGGCCTCTCGTGTTTCGCTCCAGATTTTCTGAATAATGCATGCTACCAGGCTGAACTTTTGGATATATGCTTGACATGTTTTTCGGCACGGTTAACTTGTTTCAGGAAAGACAGGCCACCACTCACCTTCTCTTTGCTGGTGGAGTTTTTTCTGCTAGCGCTCTGTGGGTAAGTGAGACAGATGTTCCGTGTCATCTTTGTTACTCCTGTTTATTTTGTCAGCTGTTTGATTTGGATCCTGAACTAAGTGTTGATGCTATTGAACGACTGCTATTTTATTCAGGATAACTGCAAACCAGGGCTTCTACCTCCTGGGCCTGTATCACCTATCACCAACCTACGCCTCTGCGATACAGAATACCGTCCCTGCAATCACCTTCGCCATGGCCGCTGTCCTCAGGTGCTAACTTTAACTTGTCTGCATTGCACCCAATAGACAGACTATTTAGTATTCTGCAGTGTTCAGTGTTCACTGAAGAGAAGAATGTCCTTGGTCTTAAATGGCGCACAGGCTTGAGCAGGTGGACCTGAGCAGGAGGCATGGGGTGGCCAAGGTGGTGGGCACGGTGGTGAGCATCGGAGGGGCGACCGTGATAATCCTGTACAAGGGCCTGCCGCTGTTCCATCACAATCTGCACGTCAAGTCTCTGGTGACGCTGTCCTCCTCCAGCCCCATCCTCAACTGGACTCTCGGCTGCGTCTTCATCCTCGGCCACTGCCTCTCCTGGTCCGGATGGATGGTCCTACAGGTAGTTGTCTAGTTCAGTGCATGAGCACACACACAAAATTGCTGAATTACTTACTATATGGTGAGCTACGATTCGGTGCACTGATTTTTGTGAATTTTTTTCTGTGACATGTACGTTGATCAGGTGCCGGTGCTGAAGAGATACCCAGCCAGGCTCTCGGTTCTGTCACTGACCTGCATCTTTGGGATCCTCCAGTTCCTGGCCATTGCCGTCTTCACCGAGGAGGACCTCAGCAGGTGGAAGGTCCACTCAGGAGTGGAGCTCTTCACGATCCTATACGCTGTACGTAAACACCAGCAAGCAGCATGCATGTGCAACGTAACTCCTGTGTTGTGTTGTGTGAGTCCAAACTGAACTGAAGGCGCTATCTTGTTGTGTATCATCGATGATAGGGTCTGGTGGCATCCGGGGTTGCGTTTGCTCTGCAGATCTGGTGCATCGACAGGGGAGGCCCGCTCTTCACCGCCGTCTTCCAGCCAGTGCAGACCGTCGCCGTCGCTGTCATGGCTGCCGCCATCCTCGGAGACCAGCTCTACACTGGAGGGTAAGGCCGCACGTGCGCTCGCGCAGATCCGAACGTGACACGGATTACGTGATCACATGGGGGGTCATCTCATCAGAATTCAGAACCCCAATCAGCCAGCCCAGCCATGCAACAAGGACTCCTGCAGCTGCATGCTGACATGTGCTTTGGCGTCTACCTAATTTGGCAGGATCATTGGAGCTGTGCTGATCGTCATCGGCCTCTACTTCGTGCTGTGGGGCAAGAGCGCGGAGAAGAAGGGCGCCACCAGGAACCTGCAGGATCAGCTGGCGTATCAGGGAGGAGACGTGACGCAGCACCTGCTCGGCGGAGAAGCTTCGGTGAAAGATGAAGAAGCCCCGGCCACTGACTGACCTGCTGGCGTGAAGCGTGATGATCGTTTAGTCGTGTTGCATTTGGGATCGTATGAGTTGTGTGATTTCAGCTGTTCCAATCAGGCAAGCCAAGAACAAGTGTGCATGGGTTGCCGGTGTGGAACAGTAGCCATGCTGCTGTGAGTCTGTACTCTGCTGCTGTAGTGTTTCTGTGCAAGCGTAGGTAAGAGTAAGAAGTGTATCTAAGTATAAAATCACTTCATCCATGATTCGAATCAATCCAGATGTGATCACACACTTATTGGAGCTTCAGTAGATACAGAATACTACTACACACCACCTAAAAGTGAACGCAAAAACTTAATTGCAGCGTAATAAGGGCCTGGTAGAACTCCCTCCGATTCTGATTCTTTATGGAAGATGATTCTCTGAGAGAAGTGATTCTATGGCTGAAAGTGATTCTCTTTGATTCGATAGCATAAACTCTCAAAATCACGATGGGAAATCACTTCACAGAATCAGGAGAAGCTACTTTTTTCAGCTCTCAGCCTCTTAATTCATTTTAGAGAATTACTTAAATCACTTCTCTCTGAAAAACTGTTTGGTAGAACCCTGCTGGATTCACCAGAGAATCAACTCTGGGAGCTTTGCCAAACGGAGCCTAATACCCTGTCAGATTCTGAAAGTACTAGCCGTTTTGTGATTATAGCCGATCAAACTTCCTAAATTGGATCTATCTATCCATGAAAAGTTGATGGCACTAGATTTAAGATGGAAAATATAGACTGCAAAAGAAGCGCTCCTGTGCCGTGTTGGGACCTGCCTTTAGTGTGTGCTAGGCCGTTTACAGCCTCTGGACGATCGAGTCCTACCGATGTGATCTGAATCGGCATCGACATATACGTCACGTTCGATATGATCGAAACAAGGGTTTTTGCTACGGTACAACCTTTACCTCTTAGAAGGTAAGAGTTTGAAAAAAACCACAGCCGTTGAATTTTGGAACATATTAGACAATTAAATAACCAAATAATCAAGAAAAAATATTGGCTATATCTGTGTGCCGCTTTACTTGCCATATTTGACATAGGAGCATGCACGCCAGGTATGGCACATATGCATCAGATGCGCATAGCGTGGATCCGTCCTCTACGGCAACGAACCCCGTGTCGTTTCCTAGGATATAGTTTCTTTCTTTACTTGATTATTATCTCTTATTTCTTAATTTGAATGTGACTTAGAGATGGATATACGTATGGATCCTCATTGCATTATGTGAGTATGATATCTCACGTATAATACTACAATATTTTTTGATATGTTGTGATACTATACACCGGTCACGTTACAATATTTTCATACAAATAAAATAACTATAATGATAGGTTCCATATTTTTTTTGACAATTTTGTCACGTACAAAAATGATATGGTTACATGCATGCTTTTTTCGTAGTTGTCAATGCACGTCGGGCTCGTTCACATTAATTAAGAAATGTTAAAAAAGAAGTCACCATAGATGTGACGGCCAAATAAAAATTAATGCTAATCAAATTATGTCATATCTAAAGTTGCAAAATAAAAGGATTTACAATATCTAATAATAGATCATGCATGCATCTAGAAAAAAAATTTTTATATCTAAAACTTTCCTTATTTATCCTACTCTACAAAATTAAAAATTAAATAAATACATATTTCACCTATTACCTTCTAAGAAGTAATATATGATATCAACCCTCTGATCTAATTAAATGGACGACTCATGGTCATTTGGAGGTACACGGCATGGCCCTCCAAACAAAACGAGTACTGTTTGGCAAGGCAAATCGATCTGTCGTGTGTGTTCGATCTAGATCAGGATTTATGACGACCTTGATCAGGAACCTAAAAATGGCGACGGCAGCATTGGGTAATAGACTAATAGCGGTGATGTTGAATGTCGATCGCATTTCAATCAGGAACCTGTCCAGATGAAATTGAAAGTTTCTCCTTACACCGGCAGAGGCTTGAAAGCGATGCAGCTGGCTGCTGGCTGCTGCTGCACACAGTGTAACGTACCAGAAGATTCACTCCACACCCACACTAGCTTTATTGATAGAATCCAAGATCAATGGTACAAGAACAGGGCAGGATAGAGAGAGGAGGAAGACAGGAGGAGTTTAGGAAGGGGGTTCAGAAATGTCAAGTTCGTTGCCCAGCAGTTACACGAGGAGCGGGATATATGCGTCCCCAGTCGGCATGCAGGCCCAACTAGCACTACGACCCATTGTCCCAATTCGCCAAACAACTCAGCCCGATGCCTGTCTGTTGCTCCTCTCTTTAGTCTTGCGCTGCTTCCTAACAATACCCACTCCTTCAAACCCAGCTTGTCCCCAAGCTGGTGCATCCGGGTACCGTCGACAAAGATCAAAGACTTCCTCCCAAGACTGAGGTGTCAGATTAGTCCACTGTACCTTCACCTGATGCAGTGTAGATGACCCTTTTCGAATGAGCCACTGAATCGAAAACTGACAACATAGCCAGATCAAAGACTTCCTCCCAAGATGTAAACTGAGGTGTCAGATTAATCCAGAAACTTGAGAGGCTTCAGCTCTTCATTTAATTGTAACATAGCCAGATCAAAACTGACAACAGCAGATTGTGAAACATGTTTCTTTAGCAGTGACACATGAACCACTGAATGAATTTTAGCATCAGGAGGAAGCTCCAACTTGTAAGCAGCATTCCCAACTTTCTGCAGAATCTTGTAAGGGCCAAAATATTTGAATGCCAATTTTTGATTGGATCTTGGAGCAACTGAGGTCTGGATGTATGGCTGGAGCTTCAAGTATACCATGTCTCCAACTTCAAATTCTCTTTCAGTCCTGTGTTTATCAGCCTGACTTTTCATTCTCTACTGAGCTCTATTCAGCTGTTGCTGTACCATATCAGATAAGATATTTCTGTCAGCCAACCAATCTTCAAGCTCAGTTGGAATTTGAATACTTGTATTTGTGATACCCAGATTTCTTGGTGAATGCCCATAAAGTACTTCAAAGGGAGATCTTCCAAGTACTGAGTGAAATGTGGTATTGTACCAGAACTCTGCCAAGGGTAGCCACTTATGCTACTGCTTAGGACAGGAACTGACAGCACACCTGAGAAACGTTTCCAAACATTGATTCAGTCTTTCTGTTTGACCATCGGTCTGAGGATGGTATGAGGAGCTCATAAGCAACTTAGTATCAGATAGCTTGAAAAGATTATGCCATACTGAACTGGTGAATATCCTGTCCCTATCTGAAATCAGAGCTTGAGGCAGACCATGTAACTTATACACATAATCGATGTAATGTTGGGCTACCTGTAGTGCAGTGGAGGGATGGGCCAATGGCACAAAATGTGCATATTTGGTGAACTTGTCAATGACCACCATGATGGTATTATACCTGTTGGATGGTGGCAATCCCTCAATAAAATCCAGCCATACAATAGACCAAGCTTCCTGAGGTACAGGTAATGGTTGCAGCAGCCCTGGGGTCTTGATGTGTTCTGATTTGGCTTGCTAGCAGACAGAGCAAGACTGAACATAAGTTCTGATCACTTCCTTCATTCTTGGCCAGGCAAACAATGCTTTGATTCTTTGATAGGTGGCCTGAAACCAGAATGACAACCAATTGCACTATCATGCAAGGACTATAAAACATGCTCTTGTGCCAGCTTATTATTGCCAAGCCAGATTCTCCCTTTGTATCTGATGACACCTTCAGATAGTGTATAACCTTTCATGTTTTCAGATGTTAGAGCTAGCTCCACCAATAGTTGCTGAGCTTGAGGATCCTCATTATATCCATCTACCAGATTCAGAAGCCAAGAAGGACTGCAAGTAGACAATGCACAAATTGTCTTTACTGGAGTACACCTGGATAAGGCATCAGCTGCCATGTTGGTTGTTCCAGCTTTGTACTGAATAGAGAATTGAAGGTCCATCAATTTCATTAAGGCCTTCTGTTGAAGCTTAGTGTGAGCCCTCTGATCAGTGAGATATAGCAGGCTTCTATGATCAGTTTTGATAGTAAACTTTTAATGCTGCAAATATGACCTCCATTTATCCACTGCTAGGATAATGGCTAAGCACTCCTTTTCATAAGTGGACAATGCCTGGTTCTTCACACATACTTGCTTGCTCAAATATGCTACTGGATGCCCTTCCTGCATAAGGACAGCTCCAAAGCCTGTGTCACTTGCATCGGTTTCCAATGTGAAGGATTTACTGAAATTAGGAATTGCCAACACAGGAGCCTGGATCAGTGCTTGCTTCAGTGGATCAAAGGCTTCTTGGGTAGTTGCAGACCAGACAAATGGAGTGCCCTTTTCAGCAAACTTGTTAATGGCCTACTTATCATGCCATAATGCCTGATGAATTTCCTGTAATAACCAGTCAGGCCAAGGAATCCCCTGAGTTCTTTCAGGTTTTTAGGAACAGGCCAATTCTGCACAGCTTGAATCTTAGATGGTTCTGTAGCTACACCTTGTGCAGATATGCAATGACCCAAATATTCAATGGTTTGCTGAGCAGAAGAACATTTTGAAAGCTTCACAAAGAACTGATTAGCCCTGAGTATCTCAAATACTTGCTGAAGCAAAGCACAGTGCTCCTCAAATGTAGCTGAATAGATGAGGATATCATCCATAAAGACCAAGACCCCTTTTCTGAACAAAGAAGCAAAAATAGTGTTCATCACACTTTGAAAAGTAGCATGGGCATTTGTGAGCCCAAATGGCATCACAAGAAACTCATATAATCCACTGAGTCTTAAAGGCTGTTTTGTGAGCATCATCAGGTGTTATACAGATTTGATGGTATCCTGACCTCAGATCCAATTTGGAAAACCATCTAGCATTAGTAAGCTCATCAATCAACTCATCCACTATGGGCAATGGGTGCTTGTTCTTCACTGTTATTGCATTCAAGTGTCTATAATCAATGCAAAACCTCCAAGTACCATCCTTCTTTTTTACTAGTAAGACAGGTGAGGCATATGGACTTGTGCTGGTCTTGATAATGCCATTTCTCAACATTTCACTCAGCTGTTGCTCAATCTCAGTTTTCTGTGCAGGTGTATATCTATATGGCCTCACATTGATTGGTTGAGCTCCAGGAACAAGGGTTATTTGATGGTCATATTGCCTTTTTGGAGGTAACTGCTTAGGCTCTTGAAAGATGTCAGTGTATTGCTCTAACAGTGACTGCACTGGTTGAGGAGCCTACTGCACAATCTCCTCAGTAAGCTGACAAACTGAACTTGAGCTGCTATCAGACTGTTGTGCAGGTTTTGAAACAGTCAACTGGATACAGTGGCTAATAGCATGTCTTCTGATCAATCCTTTGAGCTTACCAGCACTGATAGGGGAACACTTAGTGATCTCAGGTCTGATACCTTTAATCTTGATACTGGCACCTTTATGATGGAATCTCGTAATCTTCTTGGTCCAATGAACCCACATTGGGCTACACTGTTCAAGCCAATCCTGACCCAAAATCATGTCATAACACTTCAGAGGAAGGATACCAACTGAAGAGACAAATGTGTGGCCTTGAGTGGTCCACTGGAGGTTTGGGATGTGTTTATCACAAAGCATAGGAGTGCCATCAGCTGTCATGAACTGAGAAGCTGAGCAGGACTGAACTTGATCAGACAATTTCTTTGCCAATTGGTTACTGATGAATGAACCCACACTGCCTGAGTCCACCAGTATCATCACCTCCATATTGCCCACTTTACCACATAATCTCATCATTTTTCTAGTGGAAGACTGCTTTGTCTGATCAGTGCCCACGGCCATCACTGTTTCACAATCAGACAGTTAACAATTGCTATCCTGAGGGTCACTAGATTCCTCATTAACAGCATCTAGCAATTCTTCCAACACATGTATAGAAACTTGAGCAGGGCACTTGTGACCAGGCCCCCACTTCTCACCACATTTAAAACACAACCCATTCTTCCTTCTATATAATTTCAGTGTGGCAAGCTTGTCTTCATTATCACCTTTCACCACCTTAGCTTTGAATTTATCAGTCTCAATGCCTTTCTGCTTTTCTACTGCTTGATGTGCTCTGAAGTTTGTTGCAGAGATAGACTTGACTGAAAGCTTCTGCCTGCAACTGTCTAGCTCTTCTTCCTGAATCAGGGCCAGTGCACTCGCAGTATCAACATCTTTAGGGCGATGGAGCAAGATTGCAGACCTAATCTCCTCCTTTAACCCACCCACAAACTTGGTGACAAAAAATGTATCATCAAAGCCCGAGTTATACAGAAGAATTCTGAAACGATCCACGATTTCATCGAAGGAAAATCCACAGATTACATCATAATGTGAGCTGTCACATTATCATTATTCAGTTGATACCACAGTTCATACATCGCGGAATTACAAGTTTACAAGGTATTACGACACTTGGTAACACACCTAAGTACAACGTATAGTAGCGAAGACGCACATAGAACAATATCAGAGTAGATGTAGCGCCTCAACGGGTGAATGCTCCTCCTTCTCGGGCAATCATCAGAGTAAGCGTAGAGCAACAGCGGACGTAGACTTCATCTCCTCAACCAAACTTGAGCGTAGGAACGAGACCATCTAATCCTCCTAATCTCCATTGTCGTCGTAGATTACATCCAAAACCTGCCAAAAATCTTTCAGTACGATTTGTACTGGCCACTGGCTCCCACCCTATGTTTTTGCGTTTGCTTTGTGGTAAGTGGAATGCAAGGGTAGAGCAAAAGGCCTATTTATGGTTGTAGTTTTCCTATGCAAGTTCATCAATATTTTATAATAGCTCATCAAGTTTTAACCCATCTCATCCACACACGTTCACCCATCCCATCACACACATCTCACCACACTCTCACTCTCTAGGCGGCAAGGACGACTCCCTCTCATGCCTTGCCTCAACGGCCAAAGCCATAAACCAACACCAAACCTAGGGGAAAGAAGAAGAAATGACTCATCTCACTAATCAAGAGAAGCATAGGTCATAGGAATGTCCATATCCGAGGACTCGGCTATACGTATAGATCGATCAACTCTACAGAGCGTGTACACCTGGAACCATAAGATCACCATCATCGGTGGTGCCCCACCTAGGCTGATACCGACTGCCTCCCAACCGGTATGGTGCCACCCTACCACTCAGCCCTAGGCCACCCCAGAGTCCACCGACACGCTGAGACTGTGAGACGTAGTACCGGGCCCCCAGAGGTCACTACGCTGTCTTAGGAGGGTGTGGGCCATACGCCCGTACCTTCCTACACTATCCACTTCCAACCTAACAGTAATGGCACCGTCCTAGTTGGTCGGGTAACCGTCCTCCGCCCATTTAGGAGCGAGTGGTGTGTACGTAGGGTCCTATGATCCGGTTCTCTCGACATACCAGTCCTTTGGGGGAACCAGACAGGATATCTTCTCAAAGGGGATAACCAACACCCCATGCCTCAATGGCACCTCCATTCCAAAGAGTCGCCTCCTCAGAATATACTCCTCACACATATACCCGCCACAGGTACCTCTCGTAGGGAATGCCCAGGTCGCATCCCCCTAGCAAGACTCGTCCAAAGACTCATTGTAGAATCATGTCCGGTTGACTCAACCCTCACCACATACCCAAGACACACGCCAAGATCTCCCCAAGTTATCACCAATTTTAGCGGCGCCATGTGCCTTAGCCACTCACAAACAATCCTCCACCAAGCATCACATCACAGATATAATGCGTAGTAGAAGTAAGCAGTAAGTAGTAAGCGAGCGTCTAGCCTAACAGTGGGTGTGTAGGGGTAAAGGTTGTGTCAAGGTATTGACTTCAAGCAATTCTACCATACATCCTATCACTGTTCGTTTGCATGAAACTAAAGCACTAGCAGCTACATTATTGCATGCCTAATAGGATTCTATGAGGTTGGGTGGGACGTGGTACTTGTTGATTGATTATCTCCAAGATCCTTAGTACAACCGTAGTCATTCCCCTCCAAGTCCTTTTGTCGTCTGCGTCTCCTCCCTCCAATGGATTTCGGTTCAAACATCGTCATCCCCGATGCAATTACCTACGACAAACAAAACAAGGGAGCAATCAACCACTAACCAAGAAAGACCACAAATAAAGAGGCAACAAAGCACGGGAAGAGCGAATAAACACCAAAAGAACACTAAAGGAAAAGGGCTTATCCCTCACGGGGAAAGTCCGAGCCTTGGGCTAGAGAGAAATAGAAGTGGTTGTCTGTTAAGTAAAAGCCCGAGTCACAGCCTAGCAAGTACTTCTCGGGCCGATCATGTCGACCTATACGGCTTCACGAATAATGGCCTAGACCCTAGATCGACTTAAGCAAACACCATAGAAAAACTAGGCTAGCCCTCACGAAGCGAGTCCGTTTTCCTTAGGCTAAAAAGGGGCGAGGGAGAAAATCAGCTAGGCATGTCCATGTCTCATCCTCAGTAGAGATGGCACTCTAATGGTCAATCGGGTCAACTCGCATGGTTCCGAGAACACGACATAGACGCTAACCTCGCCAACTAAAAGTGATAGCCGGGTCTTTGATCCGATTGTCATTGTTAAGGATGGGATCGAATAGAGTGAGCTAAGGGGAAAAGAAAGCAGTCCTGATCTCTCTCAACCCATACGTCATTGTAATTGACGAGAACTGAAGAGAGGGGTGGAACGGGGGAGAGAAGAGACACCATGGCGAGAGACAGGGCATCGAAAGGAGCGACACACAAGAGAACACAAGTGCCCAACTACTTGTAGGGTAGCATGACCTAGGTGCATTAGATGCACTAAGACATCCCTAGGGTTCTTAGCAGTGCGGTTGTCACCGCAAGAACCAAAGAAATGCTACAGTCTAAATAGGTACAAGCATACAAGGGCTTAAGCATGGCATAATCAAAAGAGGAGGATGGGATTCACCTTCCTTTGATCCACTTGCCATAGCAAATGACAGGAATCGAAGGAATGGAATCAAGAGAGCAATAAACACCAAACAAGCGAAGGGCTCAATCCACATCTTACTGGATCGATGAGGATTGAGAACAAGAGAGGAGAGAAGAATGGAATCCTCACTCTTTTGACCAACTCATCATGGAATGGATGAAGGTTGGAAGAAAGGAGACATGATCCCATGATCCAAACCCACTCGTAGGGCACCGTGGCCATGCAACTATATCGGCACAAGGCTATCCCTAAGGTCTATAGTGATGCGTTTGTCACCGCTAGATCCGAAGAAACGCTATGGTCAAAGTGGTACAAGCATACGAGGTGGTTAGGATAAACAAGCGAGCAAAAGAGGTAAAGCCCGATGGTGCTGGAGGCTCACCGGCCGAGCCATCCTCGTCCCGACTCTTGGTGGTGGCGAGTAGGGGTGGCTTCCCTATGATAGTGAAAGGTCATAGCACAAGGGCTGACCGTCAAACAAGAACAGTGACATGAAGGAGAAAGGGCAGAGCATTGGTGCTGGAGGCTCACCGGTGGGTCATCAGCGAGGTAGTGGTGACGGCCATAGATGGAGTGGAGAAGGGTGAGGTGATGCCAAGCACGTATATAGGTGACAAGAGGGAGCTCCTAGTCGCGGTCGTGCTCTACTGCTCGGTGAGGGGCAGCAGCCCGATGCGGTCATGGTGCTCCTGGCCCTAGCTCGGTGAGGGGCTCGGCTCAGCGGAAGGAGAGGCACGACATCGTGGAGAGGAAGTAGGGGCACGACGTCTCGATGGAGTCAGGCGCCATGGTTGAGGTGGAGGCCGCTGCTGGTGCCACTAACGAGGGGCCGACGACAAGGAGGGGCGCGGCTTAGGGGAAGGCAGAGCATGGCTCTAAAGGCAGAGTGGACCGGCTTAGAGCAGCATGGTGTGGCGAGGGCGGCGATGACGAGGCATGGGCGATGCAGCTCGGTCCGGGGCGGCTCGCGATGGCGAGCGGCTACGCTTCAGCGAGGCTTGGCTTGTGGCACGACACAGCGAGGAGGAGGTTAGCGGTGGGCTTGAGGCGGAGGCGCGACATCGTGGCACAACATCATGGTCACAACGAAGGGCAAGCTATGGCGGTGTGGCTACGTAGGCCTAGTGGCGAGGTAGGTGGTCGCGGTGGCTGGCTGCACCATGGCGGTGGGGCTTAGGACGAGGATGGATCGTCCGGGTGGTCGTGGTGGCAAGCGGTTCTAGTGTTACGAGTGAGGAGGAGGGAAGGAGATGGCGGCGGGCGCTGGGAAGTAGAGAAGGGAGTGGCGGTGACTAGGGCTTTATAGGCATGCCATCTAGGGTTCTAGGCATAGACGGTGATGAGCCTAGGTGTCCATACCCTAGGACGCATGGCTAGCATCAAGAGGCGGGGCGCGGACACCAGGGCATGGGGCACTATTGCGGCGGTGGTGCGGGTCACCTGGGTGCATGTGGCCAGGAGCACCCGCCAAGGATTGGAGCGGTAGGGGCGGCTCACGATGGGCTGAGCTCGTGGGCCCATAGGGGCTGGCGAATGGGCCTATGGGGGCCAGCGGCATGGGACTTTGAGGGCGTCTGGGTCAGCGGGCTGCGCACGCAAGGTAGGCCAGCGGTGCGCGCTGATGGGCTACACAGTGGCTCGAGCCAGAGCACAAGCTAGGCCTCGCGATCGGTTTGGCCAGAGGGGAGAAGGTGGGGTTGGGCTGGGCTAGGCATAAGGAGAGGGAGATGAGGTGGGCCACGTGGTGAGGGAGAGGGGGAGGAGGCCGGTTGGGCCAAAAGTGAAGGAAGGGGGGGTGCTGGTGGGTCAGCTCAAGGGGTTTGATCCCAAGGAAGAAGGAGATGTTTTTCCATTTTTGATT